TGGAGAGGTTTTTGCTATAGGGCGTGTGCGCTCGCCAGACAGACAGAGACAGAGAGACAGAAAGCGAGAAATCACCCCCAGGGGGGATGGCCACACCCCAGTCCCTTCTCCTCCATTCTCCTCTTGGGATCTTGGGCACACACACACACGTGCCTGGCGTGAGTTTAAGCCACCGGGTTCGGGACTCAAACCGTGGTCGACTATGTGGGAGTCCAGCAACATAGCCATTACGCTAACTGCTGGTCCCTACGTTTATTTATTTATTTCTTCTGAAAGAGAGAGTGATTGCACGCCTATACTTCCAACCGGGTCTCGATGCTGCAATCTGCCTCTAGCCTCAGCCAGCGCTGGATTGGTTCATGGGCCTTGTAAACCTGGGTAAAGTATTTGGATTTGAACTTGAGGGGAATGGGAAGCCATGGAAAAAGTAAAGTAATGATATGATCCCATTTATATTTTGAAAGGATCACTGTGACTTGACATGTTAAGAAAAGACTGAGGGACAAGGTCCAAAGCAGGAAAAACACTTGGGAGTCACAGACAGTCCAAGTGAGAGTTAATGGGACTTGAGCCCAGTGGTACACCATTAGCTTTCACAGGCTCTCTGAGAGGGAAAACGCTGCGTGTAAGCCCTTGCTGATTTCTGTGGGTAAGTCCTCCCGTCATGGTCATTCAGCCTACCAGTGTTGTGCTGTCCCCAAATGTGGGAAAAACTGTGCACAGTCAGCATTCATGAGCTGGTGGTGGTGCATTTGCAGGGGTGTCCAGGTTTGTCTGTTTTCCAGGGCAGGTGGACACCTACCACCTTTTGGAGGGAGAAGATCAGGAGGAGGTTATCAGAGGGAGACAGTTTATAAAGTCCATCGTGGTCAAGCCTTGCAAAATAAGCCTAGATGTTGGAGCTGTGGATTCACAGATCCTTTGAAAGTGGAGCTCAGCCTGAAACCTCCCTGCAAACAGGAAGCTGGTTTGAGTTAAGAACATAAAATAAAAACCAGCTGATGCCCCTGAATGTTTTCCCCTGCTCCTCCCCCTCCACAGAGCCAAAGGAAGCTGCCTTTTTTCCCTTTTGGATAGCTGCTTAGAAAGTCAGAAAAAGCCAAAAACCATAAATCCTTTGAAAATAGGCCAAGCTTTAAGCCCAGGCAAACTCCTGCCCATGGGGCTTTCCTAGTCCAGAGTTATGTTCACTGTTCTGAGATGAGGAGGAAAATGACTAAGGAACACAAAGGTGGCAGTGATCAGAGCTTGTCACCCAGCCCTTCCTGAAAGAGATTGTCTGTAGCAGGGTTTCCCAAACTAGAGGTTCCAGTTCTTTTATAGGTCATGAGTTGATAAATTATTATTTTTATATTAACAAATTATTATTTTTCTATTAGACAAGAATTATTATATTTTTATGTTAAAGTCTATTTATTTATTCCATGAGAGAAGGAGACAGAGAGAAACTGGGAGGTACACCCCACAGTGTCTTTAGGTCATGATCCACTTCCAGTCTTGGCCAACCTGGGTCACAGGCATGTACATGTGCCCCCTGTATGTCCAGAAAAGCTTTGGGACATGAAGTGGGGACCTTCCTATGTAGGGCCACTTATATTACTGCCATACCACCTTGTGGCTGAGTTACTTGTTTGTTTATTTAATTTGCTATAGGGTGCATGGGCTTACTGGAGAGAGACAGAGAGAGAGGGAGAGTGACATCACTCCTGGGGGAATGGCCACGCCAAAATCCCTTTTCCATTCTCTTCTCAGGATTTTCACCCTGCACATGCACGTGCCTAGTGTGTTTGTCAAACCGCCAGGCCCAGGGCTCCAACCACACAGTTGAACATGTGGGATCCAACCACCTCAACCACCATTCTATCAGCTGGCCCCAGAATTATTTTTTAATGAAAAGGAATATAATAGAAATAGAGTATATTGGACTGGCCCTATAGCTTAGTGGTTAAGGGAGTCAGATCCCAAATGGCCAACCATGGTTTGAATCTGTACTTGCCTGTTTAAAAACTATACCAGATAGTTGGGACCAGCAGTTGGCGTAATGGCTATGTCACTGGATTCCCATGTAGTAGACCGCGGTTTGAGTCCCGGACCTGGTGGCTTAAACTCACGCCAGGCATGCATGTGTGCCCAAGATCCTGAGAGGAGAAGGGTTGCAGCGTGGCCATCCCCCCTGAGGGGTGATTTCTCATTTTCTATCTCTCTGGCAAGCACACATGACCTATAGCAAAAATCTCTTAAAAACAAAACAAAAGAAAACAAGACAAAAAACTATGCCAGGCATGTGTGCATGTGTGTGTGCATGCCCCAAATCCCAACAGAGTAGAGGAGTGAATAAGAAGGGATGAGGTATGACCACACTCCATCGGGGGGTGCTTTCTCCCTCTCTCTCTCTCTCTCTCTCTGTCTCTCTTTCTCTCTCTGGCAAGCATATGCACCCTCTGGCAATAAAAAGAAAGAAAATAAAGTATATTCCATGCAATAGAATAGGTACTGTTTTATGACACTTTTACTTCAACTTTATGCACAGGCATACATATAATATGTATGTATAAACTGGGTCATGATATTAAATGTATTTTTTACTGTGAGTTGCTGTCAAAAGTTTGTTAAACGCTGATCATTAATGTCTGAGTAACCCATGTCTCCTTCCTGCTTTAGATTGCTGCTGAAAAGTCCAGGCTAGCTTCAGAATTATTTCTCTGTGGAACTGGATTATCTACCCACAAAACACCTACCCAAATTCCTGTCAGAGGGAAGGGCAGCTGAGAACCAGTAGAATTGGTCTGATTCTTTGGAACCAGTGTGAAACATAGTGGAGGGATGGAACTGATGCAAATTTGAATCCAAACAATTTGCCTTAAATCAGATTAGCTCAAAGAGAATAAGAGTCATGTAGCCCCTTAGCTCACTGTACTTGATTTTGTGACCGCTCCCATCCATCTGGGTAATGCTGGCCTCGTGCTCTCGCTCTTCTCTGCAGTTGGCAGGAGTTGCAGCAGAAATGTTCCTGAGTATCCGTCTCTCTGGGAGAGACACAGGGCCAGCACGAGGGCGTGGTGACTTGAACTGAGCATCCCCCTGGTGATTTTGTGCTCTCCAGGCAGTATCAGGTGCCTGTGTGCCAGGGGTATTAAATTGAGGAAAAGCATGGAAGGAGGCATAAGTTAGGGCAAAACAGAACCAGCAGATGGCATAATGGTTATGTCACTGGACTCTCATGGAGTCGACTGTAGTTCAAGCTCTGGACCTGGCAGCTCACCCTGGGCACATGTGTGTGCATGTCCAAAACCCCCAGAGGAGAATGGAGGAGAAGAGATTGTGGCGTGGCCATCCCCCCGAGGGATGATTTCTCACTTTCTGTCTCTCTGGCAAACACACATGCCCAATAGCAAAAAAAATAAACATATACATACACACACACAAGCCTGGGCAAACCACCAAGAATGTATGGCTAAAGTTAGTTTATTCATACAAGGTTTAGTGTCTCAGCTAGACCCATGGTAACTGTTAAGTTTGGTGCATGCCATGTGGCTGTGGGTTGGTGCCAGCACTTAAACTTGCCCAGTGTATAGACATATGTTGGAATTCCCAATCCGCATTCCTGGGAAACACAGAAAACTCTTGGGGGCCTTTCTGGGGAATAGGCTTTAACTGTAATGTCTTGGGAGACTTATTTTGGTCTCTGGCCACTACCGGGCACTTATTTCTAACTTAATTCAAACTAAAATTGTCCTCAGGGATGAGACTCTAAATAGGCCCTCTAGGAGCACCGTTTAGTGCTCTGGTTAGGACAGAGAGAGAGAAGGAAAGATCTGAAAACTGTTTATTCTCATCTTCCCATCTCTAGAAACTGACCTGGACTAGGAGTAGACCACCTTGCCCCAAGTACAAATGCCCGTTAAGTTTTTCTGGTTCACCTGACCCTCCTAGAGCCTTCAGGGCTCTCCTCAGAGTCAAAGGTTTCACAGAGAAGAGTACAGTCTAGCCTGTTTACTCAGCCGTTCTGCATTCAGAAGCTCATCTCTCCAAGTCAAGGCTAAACGAGGACATCCCTGAGGAGATAGTGCAAGGAGTCCAGAGAGTATAAGAGGTGCTCAGACTCAGAATGGCAAGCATGACCTTGTGTAGCAGGGGGTGAAGCAGAGTGACAAGCAAGAGGTTACAGGGCAATCGGAATCCCATGCAGCATCACCTGGCAGAAAGACCGAGAATTAATTTGAGGTCAATTCATTGTGGATCCCGGGGGCCGCAGGCAGTGTGGGTAACAATAGCGATGATCAGAGTGATGAATGTCTTGTGTGGCCGTATCCTCTCTGAATCTCTGAGCAGTTTTCATGTTTACCTTTCATCTCTGTGGGAGTTGTGGCTTAATAATAATAATTAGAGTACTTCAAGCATCTGTGCTTTGCAAAACACAGCATTAAGCCATGCTGCTGCCTCCTAGGCTCATAGTCTGTACAAACTGGCAGGCATGTAGGAGCTGGAGCCCTCTGATAGAGGGGCAGAACGTGATGGAATGTGAAGATCAGGGATATTATGTGTCGCCTAATTGATACCTAATGTTCTTTGGCCCTTCATAGACCAGAATGACCTTTCCTTCATGCCTGCCAAGGCACGCAGATCAGTGACCTCCCCCAAGTTTCGTAGCCCCGAGAACCCAGTCTGGAGACCCATGGCGCTGGCTTGTAAATGGTACTTCCTGAGTTGGGGGAATGCTTGGTCTTCTGTGGCCATGAGCTGTGCTTTACATTTGATTTTCTTTCCGTGGTACCAGCAGACTGAGCCCTGCTAAAAGCAGGCAATGAATACTGGCTGCTTCTCATGCCATCAAGAGGTTTGTAGCCAGATCAGAACTTGGAGAAGTCGTAGCCATTCTCTTGAGGATAGGGGCATTAGGAGAGGAGTCGGTGCTGCATGACAGGCCCAGGCCTCTTTAGCACCTCCTTCCCAAATCCACCCCAGCTATAACACATCACTTCTCTGTCTTGCTTCAACAGGTGACCTTGGAGAAGGTGCTGGGAATAACAGTGTCTGGAGGCAGAGGACTTGCCTGTGACCCCCGATCAGGTTTAGTTGCCTACCCAGCTGGGTAAGTGCCTTGGAAGAGATCTCTTTGCTTGGGAGTTTAGAGCCATGCTAGACTAGTTGGGGTGGGCAGTGGTTTTGGTATATTCAGGGTAATGTTTTGGTATATTTTTGTAAAGGAGTTATAGGGTCAGGTAAAGGTTCTTTGTTGGGTTTCACTTGCTGCTATCCTGCCTTGCTTTTTGGCAACCACCCTAGCCATTGGCCCACACAGACAGCTCACACATTACACTGCACATGGTTCCCAGCGCTATCTTCAGTAATTACTTTCTACCACTGTAAAAACAGGGACCAGCAGTTGATGTAATGGCTATATCACTGGACTCCCATGTAGTCGACCATGATTCGAGTCCCAGACTCGGTGGCATAAACTCACGCTGGCCGCTTGTGCATGCATGCCCAAGATCCCAAGAGGAGAATGGAGGAGAAGGGATTACGATGTGGCCATCCCGCCTAGGGGGTGATTCCTTGCTGTCTCTCTATCTCTCTGTCTTTCTGGCGAGTGCATGCACCCTATTTATTTTCTAAAAAAAAATAAAAACATCCTTATTGGGATGTAATTCATATACCATATAATCTACCCATTTAAAATACACAACTTAGTGGTTTTTAGTGTATTTACAGAGTTATGCATTCATCACCACAATCAATTTTAGAACTTTTCTGTCACCCCAAAAAAGAAACTATATCCATTAATAGTCACTCCACCCCCACCAAGCCCCCCCCCCACTGTGGACAACCTCTAATCTACTTCTATCTCTATAGATTTGCCTATTCTGGACACTTCATGTATATGGAATCATACAGTATTTGGCCTTTTATGACTAGCTTCTTTCTCTTAGCACGGTTTCCACATTCATCCATGTTGTAACATTTATCAGCACGCTATTCTTTCTTATGGATTCCACTATATGGATATATCACTTTCTATGTATTCATCAGTTGGTGACATCTGGGTTGTTTCTATTTTTTAGCTATTATGAGTAATACTGCTTTGAGTATTCAGCTGCCTAGTCACTTTGAGAGATGTCAATGGCATGAAGGAGAAGTGGGGGATGGCCTGGTGCTCTTCTGTCCCTTGCTGCCTTTCACTGCCCTGCTCCTACAAAGGAGAAGCCCCAACTGTAGTTTCTCCTGGTTTCTGTAGAGGTGTTTCTTTAGGAGGCTCAGAGTCCTCCTGCTTCTGGTTCTGGCAGCCTCTGTTCCTTGCTGATAAGCACAGGCACATGAAGATGAGAAAAGCCACTGCATTTCTTACCCCACCATCAGCTTGAGAATACCTAGTTCCCCAATTAATTTCCATAGCAACATTCATACTTTTTGTACCAGATACATGATTTGCTAAATTTCATCATCCCATCAAAAAAGCTACCTTTCTCAAGTACTTATTCTTGCCAAGCAATTTTTAAACACTTTACATGAATTATTTAATACCCAGAGCAACCCTGTGAGGTTGGTACTATTATCGCCCCCATATTTAAGAGAAGGAAACTGAGATGCAGTGATGTCACAGATGCATTGTGCTCGAGGTCTCATAGCTCGTGCCAGCACTAGGGTTCGAACCAAAGTCATCTGACTGCAGAGCTCCGATGCTTAAAATGGCAGGGGTGGGGGAAGATCAGACTTTCTGCTCATTTCTGGAAGCTGCTTTTCCTCTAGACTGTCTACTTGTCATATGAATGAGAAGAGCCCAATTTATGGGAAGACCTCTGCCCCTAGGTTCTGGGGTCAGTGTCTCTTCTGAGTGGCCCTTGATGTCAGGTGTCTGTGTGTGTTGGCGTGGGTGGGTGCTATGTGAGCTGCACTGGCTCTTCCTGACAGGGCTTGGGCCGGCAGCCTTCTCCCTTCCAGAAGCAAGTGGAGAAAGGACCTCTGTTGCTGGACAACCCAGTGCAGCCCGCCTCAGGGGAATTCCACTCGTGCCTGTCTGCCTGGGAAAGCCAGGTCCCTTCTTGTTGGAGGTGGGGCTGATGTAGAAGAGGCAGGAAAGGCCCGGGGTGCTGCTTGGTGCATGCTGAGCCCTGTGTCCCTGCCCCGGGGAGCAGGAGCCCTTTTCCCTGTCTCTTCCCCACACCCCAGTCATTGCACCCTTCAGGGTGTGTGCTTATGTTTATGGGCAGGTCACAGCCCACAGCATGTGCCTGGGAGTCATTACCTTTCTAGCTGGTGTGGGGAGGCTTCCCCACTGTAACCTGTAGTGGGTTTTCTGAGTGTGGCTGGCTAGGGCCAGCCCTGGTCAGTGCCCCTAGTCTGTTCCCTGACCTGCACTTTGTTCTTTGTAAATGACATCTTTCTGGGTGTTACAGTTGTGCTCTGTGCTGGAGCTCCCTGAAGTGCTTCTGGGGCAGCTGAAGACCCAAAGTCTGTGTGAGTCTAAGCAGATCTTTCGCCCTCCCTCTTTGTTTTCCTTTTCTTCCTATCTAGAAATCCTGACACTATCCCCAACCCCCCACTGTCATTCCTACTACACTTGTTGCTGTAGGAGCCAGCTCAGGTATCCTAGAAACAAGAAGAGAAACACAACTCAGAAAATTCTCCCAGAGGCCTAGAGGCAAATATCAAACCAAAACAAAGTTTTCTGAAAGGAAATGAAACAGCACAGGGAAGGAGGGTGGGGAGTGTTTGTCAGGCAGAGGTGGGTTGGGACTCCATGCTAAGAATGTGGAGTCTCTGAGCATAGGCCCCTCGTTGTAGTGGCTCTTGCATCTCTTCTCCAGAATTCTCCCTTTGCAGTTCCTTTCCCCCCAGGAAGCCCACCCCTTAGCTCTCACACTTGAAGCCACCCTACCTTAGGGTGCCAGGGTGAGCCCTAGACAGCTTCTGTGAAGGACTCAGTTTAGTTGATACCCTTAACTGAATTGGGCCTTTCTCCTGTGTGGGGTGGTGAGGGTTCAGGGGCTTGGAACCTGGCACAGCCTCTATTCCACTGTGGAGCCATCTAGCCCTGAGAATGGGCCTCTCGTGGCCCCATTGCCAGCGCGGCCTGGATGAGTACTCAGAGCAGGGTTGTTCCTTGCCCCTAGAGAGAGGAGTGTCCTAACAAAGTGGCTGGGCCAACCTTTCAGCTAAGAGACTTCTTGGTTGCTGTAGGTGGGGGGGAGGAGTGGGAAATGCAGCTCTGCGGAGAGCCCTCCATCTGCTTGACCTGGCCCATTTTGGAATTTGTGCAGAGAGCTTCAGCTTCAAGGCATTGGACGGGGTGTGAAGCCACAGGCTCTCCTGCACTGTGTCCTAGTGACATCTGAGCTGACGGAACACAGAACCACCTTCTCACTCTCCGAGGCAAGCCCCGAGTGGCCGTCTGCCAGGGAATGTGTGGGGTGGTAGAGAGACCAGTGGGCCTTTGAAGAGAGGCTGCTTGGACTTGGTGCCTGACAGAGTTATACGTAGGGGTGAATGTTGGTCCCCACTGTGGCTTTTCTTCAGGTTGCCCTGCATATCTCACCCCTTGGTTCTACCCAAAACTGTTCATGGATGCATGTACTCAAATGGTCAGCAAATACTTATTGAAAACCTGCTCTGGTCCAGGCATGGGGAACAGATAAGTGTATAAGACACAGGGTCGCTGCTTTTGTGGGGTTCAGGTGCAAGAAGGATGAGCAGACAATAAGCATGCAGAGAAATAAGTGAGCTACATATCAGAGAGTCAGCAGTGTTCCAAAAAATAAAACAGGGTAGGGCTGGTCCTGCAGCCTAGTGGGTGAGGACCCAGGATCCCACATAGCTATACCCCGGCAGTTTGAAAAACACTCTGGCACGTGTATGTGTGCGCCTCAAATCCCGACAGGGTGGAGCAATGGAAGAGAAGGGATTCCGGTGTGACCACACCGGATAAGGTGGTGCTTTCTCCCTCCCTCTGTATCTCTGCAGAGCACATATACCCTCTAGCAATTAAAAAATAATAAAATAAGGTGATAGAAAGGAGAGCAAGTGAACAGTTGTGATGCAGGGTGCTCAGGGCCGGTGGGAGGTCATAGGACCGATACCTGACTGACACGGAGGAGCCACCATGGGAGGATTTAACACCTAAGTGTTCAGGTGAGGAGACATTAAGGAAGAGAGGAGACAGCTCACGGGTTTGAGGAGCGAAGCAGTGACTGTGGTAACTAGAGTAAATGGGGTGACAAAAAGGGGCTGGACAGTGCCTTGTGAACCTGCCTGTAAGTTTTATAGCTCCCAGAGATTCACTGGGAGAAGAATGTCCAGGAGAAGAATATATCTGGAGTCCTCAGGCAGCAGAGAAGCGTGCTGAGAGCTACCCGGTAGCCGTGGGACTCAGTGTTATCAGCACCTGGTCTTTTTCCGTCCTCTGAGGAGGGGCTTACATACTTCCCCCAAACAGAGGCACCCGTGAGTCTCAATGCCTGACCTAAAGAGGTGATTTATTTGGAAGACATTAGATTCCAAGTAACTGAGGATGCCCTGGGAAACATCCTAGACTCATCTCTCAGAATAATTAAAACTGTACGATTTCCTTTTGGGACAGTCTGTAATTCCACACCTGGTTGAGGATCCTAAGGAATCCCCGATACCTAGCAAGTCCTATATGGAATACCATAGTCGGGGCTCCTATCCTGACCCCCTGGGTAGCCCTTGTTACTGGGGCACCAGGGCATCCATCAAGATGGCTGAGAGCTCTGTGTCGGTTACTTCACAGTTGTTCTCTGTGTCAGTTCTCACAGTTGTTCAGTGAGGAAGATGTAATTGTTTCTGTTTCACAGAGGATGCACAGTATGTTACAGGCAGGTCCATCTGACCCTACTGTTCTTTCTATTCTTTCATATTACGCTGGGGCAGCAGGGGGTGCTAAATGTCTCCAGGTGGGAGAACTGTGGGCCTGCCCCAGGGTCCTAGTTCACAAGTCTGCTGGGGTCGGGGGAAGTGATCCTCGGCATTTAGGATGCTGGATTTAGGATTTAGTCACTCATAACAAGTATGTATTGAGTGCCTATCTTCTAGGCTCTAGGGACTTCGAAAAATCAGACATGAATACCAGCTTCACAGAGCTGGAAATCCAGTGTGTGAAGGTAGACACCCCCCCCCCCAACAATGAATTTTATAAAATATTACAAGTTGGTGTGATTTAGTCACTCATAACAAGTATGTATTGAGTGCCTATCTTCTAGGCTCTAGGGACTTCGAAAAATCAGACATGAATACCAGCTTCACAGAGCTGGAAATCCAGTGTGTGAAGGTAGACACCCCCCCCCCCAACAAGTGAATTATATAAAATATTACAGGTTGATGTGTGCTTTGGGAAAAGCAAAAGCCATAGCAGTAAAGGGTACTGGGAACTGGGGGATGTGCAATCGCACTGATGAATAGGGCTAGAGGGTGACATTTGAGCGAAGCTTGAATGGTCTTTGCTTCTGTCAGTCACCCTCGGATTTTCCCTGATCTGGAAGAAATGTAAAGATACAGGGGCTCTGCTTAACCTCCTGTGTCCTGCTCCCTGTGTGCACTTCATTCAAAGCTCATCCCAGGGTTCACTTGGCTCTGCCTTCTGGAGGTGGGAGAGTGGTAGGAGGTGGGTCCTGCGGGGATACTGGGCTTTTGGTGACGGCAGCAGGCCCAGACCTGTGTGGGGCAGGGGAATGTTGAGGGCTTGGCCCATCCTGGGCAGTGGGCCAGTACCTGGCATTGGCGTTCCACAACGTGACTCTTACGGGCTGAGGCTGGCAGGCACTGAGATGGTGAGCAATCTCTGCACCCTTGGGTCCTGAGTTAAGGGACTCAGCCGGTTGGTTGGGCCAGGCCAACTCAGCCCAGCCCTTGTTATGTTGAGGATTTTAGCCAGCACTGCTACTGGGCAGGGTCAAGGGGCGTGGAGGTAGAGGGCCAAAGACTGATGCAAACTGCACCCCACCCTCCTCTTCCTAGCTGACTGAAGAGCTTGCTCAGAGCTTAGGAAGACCAAGGAGGCTCCTTGGTGTGTTTTAAAACATCCTCTTGAGAGGACCTCAACAAGCTGGGCACACAAGGAACTTTGGATATGGTTGGCTGGAGTATGCGTCGACTCAGTTCAGTTAGATCCACAGTCGGCTCAAGGCCTTTGCCATGTTTCGTCTGTAGCTAAGCAGAAAGGGAGGTAGCTGTAAGCAGTCAGACCAGAAGCCTTTGCTAGAGAGAGGAGCCTCTGGAGGGCCTCCTTTGTAGGAAGGTTCAGAAAAAAACAGCCCCTGAAAACCTGCCGGACTGTGCATTCATGATGGTGGCAGGCTGGGGAGGAGGGTATCATTTTTCATGAACTGAATAAATATTAAACTCTAAGTATCTAAAGGGCCAGCTGGTGGCATGGTGGTTAAAGGTGCTGGATTCACACTTGACCAACTGCGGTTCGAGTCCTGACCTGGCAGCTTGCTTTCTTACTTTCTCTCTCTCTCTCTCTCTTGCTCTCGCTCTGTTCCTTCCTGGTTAAATTAAAATAAATGAATAAAATTAAATAATTCTTTTAAAAAATGTAAGTATCTGAATCTGTGGACTCTTCACTGTAACTGCGATAATTTCACGTGCCTGTTCACCAGTGATGTGGCACCGTATTCAAAGCCATCTTGTTTTTGTCATTTAAAAAATTATATTCATGATGGGCTAGCAGGTGGTATGGTGGTTAGGGTGGCTGGATTCCACATGGCTGACTCCACGGTTAGAATCCTGGACCCTGCGGCTTGAAAAACATGCTAGGTGCATGTGCATGCATGCCCAAAATCCCGAGAGGAGAGTGGAGAAGGAATGCAGTGTGACCATTCCCCATCAGGGGTGATTTCTCATGTCTTTCTGTCTCTCTGTTTCTCTGTCTTTCTCCAGTGAGTGCACACATCCTCTAGCAAATTAAAAACAGAGAGAAGGAGAGAAAGGAGAAAAGAATAAGGAAAAAGGAACAAAGAAAGCAGAAAATGGAAAAAAGAGAAATAGGGAAAGTTAGAAAGAGCTAGAGGGGGTGATGGGACTCATGCATTCCAGGGCTGTTGGGCATATCTGGTCACATCAGAAGTCTGGGGTTCCCAGGAACATGGGCACTTTGCATATTCAAGTGGCTTGTTGAGTCTAAGATGCTAACCAGCAGTTAGCGTAATGGCTGTGTCGCTGGACTCCCACGTAGTCGACCGCGGTTCGTGTCCTGGATCCGGTGGGTTAAAACTCATGCCCGGCATGTGT